ACATGAGTAATAATCAGATATATATAGAGATTAGAAATGCATATACATCTTAGTGTCAGTTGTATTAAAAATGAATTTTTCTGTATGAAACTGTGTATTTTAAAATGAAATGGAGATATTTTTTAAAGGGTAAAATATCATTCAATTTTATGTCTTATAGGGTTTATACTGAGTTCAATATTGTATAACTCTATTAATTCAACTGTAAACCTAAAAATTTACAGCCAATTTTGAAAGAGATGCATCTTAGCTCTGGAAGTTGTTATTGAATATGTCAATGCTGTTGTAATGAAATTCTTCTTCTAGGTATGTGGTTATTAAATAAATAATTAAAGAAAATTTAATCTTAAAAAAGGTAAAAATAAAAACAATACTAGTACCTACCTCGTGGGGTTTTTTAATGGATTAAATAGGCAACACCCAGAAAGGCATCTGGGATATATTAAGAATTCTAAAACTGTAGGTCACTATTAGTATCTTTATTTTGCTGTTGGATTTCCTATGCCCCAACTATTATACTTTCTTTTCATTACTTTCCCTCCTTTCTTTCCTGTCACTGAGTGGAATTTTCTGCTGCTGCTTCAAAAGTTATGGATTCTTTTATTTTTAGCAGTGGCTTCCCTTAAGTCCTAGGCCCATAAATATTAAATATTTTTCTTACTGATTCATTAAAATTGTCCCCATTTTCATCTCCCTCCTAAAAGGTAGTTCTGGAATCCCGTACTATTCAGTACATTTCTCCAGGATGAGGGAAAGAACTTGAGACTAGGTCCAAATCAGTGCATGCCTCCTTCTTCTAGAGTATCTTGCTATGAAAATGTCAGCTGACCCAAAGGGCTTGCTTTTGGCTTAAGTCGTCTGCATTCTGGTCCAAGCTTTTTGTCTCCTTGAGATTAACAAACAGTTTGTGAGCTACTCTTGCATTGTGTTGCTTTACAGCACTGTTATCTCATTAGAACAGTCCATTCCACTCCAAGCCCCTCACAGTATTATGTAGGATTTTACTTTGGGGTTCTTATGAACATAGTTTTCTTTGTTTCCCAACTATTTTTGAGGTTTAAGAAGTCATGTTTAAGGAACTTGTTTGCATACATTAAAATTCACCCTTTATATATATTTATTTATTTTTTAAATATTTCTCCCATTGCCCTCCCCACCAGACTTCATGCATTGAATTTATTTTTATTTTACATGAGTGTATTGCCTGCTTGTATGTAAGTGCACCTGTATAGTGCAATGCCCGTGGAGATCAGAAGAGGGCATCAGATTCCCTGGAACTAGAGTTACAGACAATTGTTAACTGCCATGTGGGTGCTGGGAATGAAACCTGGGTCCTCTGCAAGAGCAGCCAGTGCTCTTAACACCTGAGCCATCTCTCCAACCCCATATTATTTTAATTTTATGTGAATGAGTGTCTTGCCTTCCTGTATGTAAGTGCACCCATATCATGCAATGCCCATGGAGGTCAGAAGAGGGCATTGAATCCCCTGGAATTGAAGTTACAGACAATTGTTAGCGGCTATGTGGGTGTTGGGAGTTGAACCCAGGGTCTTTGAAAGAGCAGCCAGTGCACTTAACCACTGAGTCATCTCTTCAGCCCAAAATTCACCCTTTATAAAGTGTATAACTACAAATTTTGACAGATACCATCAGGTAGTCATTATCATGGTCAAGATGATAGATTTACCATCATTCAAAAAGTTCCCTCCGGCTCCCTTGCCCCCAGCACCTGGCAACCACCGATTTTTTTTCCGTTCCTATTCTTTGATCAATGAAATTGCAGAACAGTTTATTATATAAATGATGACAGCTAGTGTAAGAAGTTTGCCCCTTTGGAAGGCTGCTTGGCATTTCGTGTATCACAGCCTGTCACCAGTTCCTGGATATTTGAGTTCTTCCTGGTTTTCCTGTGAATCAAGTTCCTAGCCTTTTCTCTGACTGCAGAAAACTTAGCCTAAATTATTTTGCCACTCCTTTTCTGTGTCTACTATATCCCCCCCCAAATCTGTTTTAATAACTTCCTATAAGAATGCCATCCAAAGGGATCTTTTATGCAAATATTTTTATTATAACTTCATATTCTAATGTAATCTGACTCAATAAAAAGTTTAAGTTCAAAGTTATTGAGATAGACTCTTTTGACATGAGCTTGATTTCTTTTTAACTTTTTAAATTTATTTTTATTTTATATAGATGAGTGTCTTGCTTGTATGTAAGTGCACCACATGTGTGGCCAGAAGAGGACATTGGATCACTTGGAACTGGAGTTACAGATGGTTGTTAGCCACCATGTGGGTGCTAGGAACCAAACTCCAGTTCTCCTAAAGACCAGCAAGTGCCCTGAACTGCTGAGCCATCTCTCCAGACCCTCAGGTTTATTCCCTTCTTGCATTTCTGTCATTCTATGGGTTAGACATCTTGTCATGATAAAATGCCTGACATGAAAAACTTCAGGCTAGAAAGACTTCTCTTGGCTCCCACTTTGTCCATGTACGGCTTGTTCCACTGCTCTGAGGCCCATGATAAGGCAAATACATGGAGGAAAGGCATGGTGGAGGAAAGTTCACGGAAGCCAGAAAGTAAAGAGAAATAATAGAAAGGGACTAGGGCTAAGACCTACGCTCCAAAATCATTCCCCAAGCAACCCACTCCTTCCACCTAGTTCCCACCTTCCACAGTTCTACCATCTCCCAATAGACTATTCAACTTTTAATCCATCAATGGATTAAACCAGGTGTTAAGAGCCTTCCTAATACAATAATCTCTGGAAACACCCTCACAGACACATTCAGAGGTGCGCTTTACTAATCTCCTAGATGTCTCTCAGTCCTACCAGATGGCAACCAAAATACACTTCCTTTCAGTTCTGGTTCAATCATTGATATGTTAGAGAAAACTTCAAATGAGTGACCTTATTTTATTTAAACTTTTCCTACTGCCTCTGCAAAGTTGCTCAAAATGCTCTTCCAATCACCAATTCATCTTCAGGTACATCTATTCTGTGTGTTCCACATTGTTAATAAATAGTGCTAATAAATATTTATTCTAGTCATTATGTTCCCCATGCCTAATAGAATTTTTTGGTTTGGTTTCCTGACTTTTTCCTGCCTTATTGCTAATGTCATGCTTCGTCTCTGTAAATGGGTATCATGTGCATTTAAAGCTCTCCATCCAACTGTTCTAGCACTAATTTGTTTGAGACACTGTGATTCAACAGTGGTCTTTCTGTAGTTGTACTCCATCTACTTATTTGTGCTGTGAAATCAAGGTCCCCTGGAGCTCCAGCCTCTCTCTCTAATAAGCATGTATCCAAGAAGGTGCTGGGAGTTGGGAGTGGAAGAGCAGTGATTAGCCTAGAAGGAAGTCTCATGTACCAGGGATCACTCTACCTAATTGTTTGTAAATATATTGTTATTTGTTTTAGAATTTCATGCATACATGCAATGTATTTTGATGATATTTACCCCCCATTCTTCCTCCTAACTCCCCCCCACAAACCTTAAGGAACATCCTGGCTGGGGGTGGGGGGCAGAAAGATTGTGAGAGACAGGGGTTATAGAGAACTATAACAAAACAACATTTTCTAGACATGACAGGACTACAGCACTCATTAATTCATAGTAGCTGTGGCTGCCTGCACAAGAACTGCATAAGATCAAGCCAGTCAACATTCTAGTGCGCAGTGGAGAGGGGCTCATGAGCCCCCATTGATAGCTGAGAAGCTATTGACAATTGATGTCATCTCGGAGATGGAGAGTCAGTCTTCTTTAAGGGTGTGGCTCCTGGTAGGTAAACCAGGCTCCAGTGGATGGTCCCACATCCATGCATATATGGACAGTGCAGATTGGGCTCACTACCCCTTTTTGATACTTTACTGATCAGTGCTGCTGTTGGTTTCTACACTTAGGGAGAAGCAGTGACCTAGCAGCCAGAGAGCATGGAGGGGCAGGGCAGCAGCAGGGGAAGAGGATGGAGCCAGAAGGCCCCCTGCAGTTGCTTTTAATTCCTCACCTCAAAAGCAGCATTTTTGTACTGATCTGATTATTACCAAGAAAACTGTCATTTTCCCTCATTCACACTGGGTTTGCTTCACTGGGCCCCCACCAAAAGTCAAGTGTTACAAAGTGAGAGGAAGAGGCTAGAGAGATGGTTCAGCACTTAAGAACACTGGTTGCTCTTGCAGAGGACCTGGGTTCAGTTCCCAGCACCTACATGGCAGCTCACAACTGTCTGTAACCCCAGTTCCAGGGGATCTGACGGACTCTTCTGGCCTCTACCTGCACTGCATGCCCATGTGCACTTACACACATGCAGGCAAAACACTGATACACATAAAATAAAAATAAACAAATTCAAAAACTTAAAGTGGGAAGGAGGTTGGAGTACCCACCTCCCAGGCACAGATTAAATCAGTCCTCAGATTCCTAGGGACTCTGTTCTTGTAGAATTTGTGGAACTCAGCTCTCTAGGATATTCTGTGTGGAAGATGGCGGCAGCCACTGGTTACACTTGTAGAAACAGCAGGTGAGTGGGGGACACCCAGCCACTCTGACAGAGTGTCTCCCTGAGCAAGTTCCTGGCCTCGGTTTCCCTGATCCATAGATCAGGCCTATCAATAGTTTGCAACTTGATGCTTATCACAGAATGCTCCTGAAGCTCTCCGAGCCGAATTCAGCCCGCAGTAAGCACTACCCACCTGTGTGTGACACACCACGGCAAGCTCTGCACCCTCAGGAATGATTTCCTAAGGCCTAACTTCCTGCTGCTGGCGGTGGCAGCCCGCCTGATCTGTCCCGGGGAGACCCGCCCCGGGTCCGGCGGGCCAGGAGATGCCCAGGCCGCACTGCAGCGGTCAGGTGCACTTCCTGGGAGCCGCCGCGCAGGTGCCACGCCAACTCCCTCCCAGCGGCTCTGCTGGGCAGAAAGCCACGGTGGAGAGGGCGTGCCCAGGGTCCGGCGCCCGCGGCCGCTGGGTGGCACTGCGCCCTGCCCGCCCCGCCTGGGCCGCCTGGCCGGGATTGCCCTGGCCGCCGCCGCGCCTGGGTCCCGAGCGCACCGCGGCCGCCGGGCTGCCAGTCCCGGACCCAGCGAGGACCACCAGCGACCATGCAGTGCCTGGGCGCCGAGTACCTGGTAAGGCTGGCAGCCCGGGCCCTGGTGCAAGCGGGCCCCTGCAGGCACCTGCTCTGGCCGGACGCTTTGGCCTCCCCACCCCAAGGGATCAGCCACCTGCCAGGCGGCAGGGGTCTCTAAGGACACCTGGCCGGGATTCCAGAACCTCACTCAGGTGTTGAGGCAGAGACGAGGGAGACCTCAGGGGAGTGGGGAGACGGGTATTCTGCTTTCCGTGGCACTGAGGACTTGGTGCGGAGGACTTAATATCTGCCAGAGCAGGGTTCCCCAGAGAAACTGTCAGGTGACAAAATCACTTTGAACAATCTTCAGATAGGTTTGGTTTCGGCTGGTTCCACCTATTTATCTTCCTTTTCTCAACTTTCCATCTTCCTGTAAGGTTTCTGCAGAGAGATCACCCAGGCAAAGGGAGTGGCGACCCCAGATTTATAGGAAATGCACAGACACCGTGTGGCTGGTCCTGTTCTTTCTCTTTTGGACTGGTTTGGTAAGTGTGGCTGCTTGGCAGGCAAAAGGCACGTGCTGGTGTGTGTGTGTGTGTGTGTGTGTGTGTGTGTGTGTGTGTGTCCAGACATAAATGTGTGCCAAATGTTAATTGTTTAAAGTTTATGCTACAAGAACAGACTTCTGCCATTGGCCTAGTCTGAGCATGAGTTAGTCCTTGGGAATTTTTATCCGGGTGTTTCCTAACCTGATAGACTCCCTGGTGAGGCTATCTTCTCACTGTAGGCCAAGATTTATTGGGTAACTCCATTAGAAAATGAGAATCACAGTTTGAGATGATGTCTTTCCTTAGACTGTGCAAGCTCCCAGAGTGGAAATTTTGCTTTTACCATTGGACATACCCCTAAATCAAATATACCTCATCTTTGGCTGTTTTCTAACAAAGGAAATCCAAGGAAAATCTAAAACTAGATTATTTTTATTTTAACTTAGATACATGCACATGCTTGATCTATTGTGTTTAGTAGTTTAACGGGCACTTTCTAATTAAACATATACAGATCCTTCCTACTGACTTGAGGTATACATGGTGGCTGGTAAATCTCACCAGACTGCCATATCGGTACTGGGAGAGTCTCTTTTTTCAAAGGCCTTCTGTGCTATGTGCATGGTAAATGATTAACTTTTAGAGCCCTATAATAACCTAATAGTAATTACTTTAGTTGAAAAGAATTCAGTTTGAATAGACCCTAAAATACCATGTTTGTTCTTCTTCCCAAATAAGGAAGGCATATCTGTTCACTTGTTGACTTTTCAACTGGTTTTGTATAGACAGGCTTAGTAAGAGGCACAGGTTAAGTAAGGTTGGGCCTGAAAGATGTACTCATCTGTTGTTGCTACTGCTGCTACAGCAGCTATTGTGGCCCTTCAGACTCTCAAGGAACCAGAAAGGCAGTGCACCTACTTAGCTGGGTGGTTTTATCAGATTCTGCTGTTGCATAAATGCAGGGAGCAGTTGTTCCTTCTTGGGCCTGCAGCTTTGACCTTGGGCTGTTAATATTATTTAAGGATCTCCCCTCCACTATTCAAGCTCTCAGCCCAGCAGCTGTCTAGAGAAAAGAATCATAAATGGCCTATCACAGCCTGAAGAATTATGAGCAGGCTGAGACATCGCCCAGACCTGGAAATGCTTAAAAAGTCCATTTCATTTGTAGTATAAATCTAAAGGTTTCCATATGCCCAGATTGCCTTTACTGTGTTTAGTCGTGGAATTTCTTTCTTAGCTGACTGGCTTCTTATATCTTCTGCAACATTTTAAGCTACAGATACATATTTAAAACGGCAAGGGGTATTTTTTCTGCTGCTCCATTTCTGAGTCTTGCGACTGATGTGCTGACTGACAACGTGCAGGAGAGGATTATTGTTGATGGTGCTGCCCTCAGTTGGGGCCGGCCGAACAAGGAGGCTTAGGGAAGGTGCCAGACCTGCAAGCAGGGATAGTCTCCTGCAAACAGGAAGCACCAGCCTACATATGTGAAATACACAGAACAAGAAGTCTGGAACTCTGAACCCTCTCTGCCTTACCTCTCCAGTGTCCTCCCCCACTTTGCCCTTTCCTATTCATCTCTCAAGACTCCCAATTCCAGATCCAGTTTAGAGTGACTTTCATGGAGGCCATAGGACTAGTATCCATGCCTCCTGTGCTGAGTACCATCACTGGAGTCCAGAATCTGAGGCCTGTAGCTCTCCAGCCCTACCAAAAGAAAACCAGGCCACAGGAATTAGTGACGGAGAAATGAGTTTGTTTACAGCTTTAGGCAGAGCTGGAGATTGAAAAGTTCTTAGTTTCTCTCCATCTTTCCTATTTCTGTGTGAAAAGTCAGTGAAAACAAGTCAGGAAATATGTGTGTGTAGACTGAGTAGTTGTCAAACTGTGTAAAGTCCCTTCCTGGGAGATATGACCTCTTCCTCTAGTACCAGGGTTTCAGGCCCTTATCTCCCCCAGCATGGGATCTCCTGGAAAAAATTTAATTCTTTGGGGGCCATTTTTTCAGGGTCCCTGTCACACTGTTCATCACCTCTCATATGAAATTACACTTGCATGTTTTGGTATTAAATTAATGATGGCTTGAGTCTTAATGGTATGGTGGGGACTCAAGAAAATCCAAATCCCTGTCCCAAAACCTCTCTCTCCTCCACACAAACTTTCCAAGGGAGATCACACAGGAAGTCATGGTACATAGAATATATCACATCATTGTTAGATCTCTGGTGAGCTGGGCAGAAATATACGTCATCCCCTTGCCAAGTCCAAATGTAATCAGGACTTACACTCTAAGTTGGAAGGGACAGGAGGCTGACGTGCCAAGGCTGGGTCAACTTAACACACAGGCCATATGGGCACACAGAGATACACCTCCATGTACTGCCTTACAGTGAAGACTGAGTGAGCCAGTTTTCCAGTAAAGGTGACCTGTATATCCTAATCTTATCAATGAAACTGAGGAGGAAGTTAAGGAGTAGGGAGGAAGCCTCCTTCCCAATAATGTCTGCTATTGATAAGTCCTCCTGGGAGGTTGGGTGCTGAATTTTCAGGGTATGGACTAGAGTTTGATCCCAGCAGCAGTCTCTAGCGCCCACTAAGTAAGCACAGGAAGAATATTTAATCTTTTTGTCTTGTTTTGGTTTTTGAGGCAGAATCTCTTGGAACTCAGTGTGGCCTTGAACTTGCTATGTCACCAAAGCTGGCCTTGAGCCCTGATCCTCCTGCCTCTATCTCCTGAGAGCTGAGATTTCAGGTGTGTACTACCTTCCAGCTTGATTAATGCTTCTATTTCCAAATTGGCCTTAAATACAGAGTCTCTGAAATATATTTGAGTTTGACACAATAAATCTTTGGAACATATAACCATACTCTATATCCATACTCTCTATTAGTGAATGGTATCCCACAGCCTGTCCCAGAATGAGTTTGCCACTGTCATATATTTTTAAATGGCATTCTGTGTATGGTAGATTGGGAAACTTACCACGACACTGTTTCTGTTATGAGAAGAAACATTCAGTCTTGGCAGAAGGCCTGTCAATACATAATAGTGTTACAGTTATTTGAATTGCAAATTCAAATATTTCACATTCACTATAAAAGTGGATTTTAAAAATAGCTATTGATTGCAAGATGTTCTTGTCCAACAGAAATCCTAAAATCTTTTTTTCTTAAAGTATTTACTTTGTAAATTTTAGTCAGTCGTTCCAAAATACTGTTTCAGATTCGTTGCAAGCAGTATTTCCATGCTTTCTATTGTGTGGTCTTGACAGAGTTCCCTAAAATTAAAAGAAAAAGAAAAAAAGAGTAGGCCAGGAAGTTAGCTCAGTCAGTAAAGTATTTGCTTTTGAAAGCAGGAAGACCTGAATTTGATCCCTGGGACCTCAACTTTTGGAGAGTTTTGTTTTTTTAAATTAAGGATGGAAGCCAGGTGTGGTGGAGTGTGCCTTAATCCCAGCACTTGGGAGGCAGAGGCAGAAGATCTCTGTGAAAATGAGCCCAGCCTGGTCTACATAGACGATTACAAGCCAGCTGGGGCTACAGGGAGACCCTGCTTCAATAATAATAATAATAATAATAATAATAATAATAGCCAAATAAATAAATAAGGATAGCATAGTGGCATACATTTGCAATTTCAGTGCTGGGAAGGCAGAGACAGGTGGATCCCTGGGGCTCATTAGCCTGCTAGACTAGCCTACTTGGTGAGTTCTAGGAGAGTGACAGGCATGTCTCAAAAATCCAAAGTGGACAGTATATGCAGAATGACAGCCCAGGTTGTCCTCTGGCCTCTACATATAATTGTGAAAACATGCATATGTGCACACCTGTGTATGCATACCCCCCACATGCACCTACACACACACACAATAATAATAATAATAATAATAATAATAATAATAAAAGGAAGAAAGTTCAGGGAGATAATTAGTACAGTCTTGGATTCACTTAGATAACACTGAAATGTTGAGAGGAAAAAATGAAATTGTCCCAATGAAGTTTGGCCAAAAAAGTTAAAAAGTGACAGCCTCAGGGCTGGAGAGATGGCTCAGCGGATAAGAACACTGGTTGTTCTTGCAGAAGACCCAAGTTCAAATCCCAGCACCTATATGGCAGCTAACACCTGTCCGTAACTCCAGTTCCAGGGGATCCAACAGCCTCTTCTGTCCTCCACGGGCATTGCATGACACGGGTGCACTTACCTACATGCAGGCATAACACTCATACGCATAAAATAAAAACCAGTTCCCAATGACTCCAACGCCCTCTTCTGGCCTCCATGGGCATTGTAGGACACTAGTGCACTTACACACATGCAGGCAATACACTCATACACGTAAAATAAAAATAATAAATAAATAAAATATGTATATATATATGACAGCCTCTTGAAGAAGAAAGAAAGGAGATAAGGAGATAAGGAGACAAGAGATCCCTGCTCACCTGCTGCCACCAGCAGGAACCTTACAGGTGGAGCTGCTGCTGAGGGAGGGGAGAGCTGTGGAGCTGGAGAGACTTGTCCTTTATCTGGCTGTGTTTCACACCAGCATCTTCAGGGATGGGAGGGAGGGGCTCCCACCCTGTGACCAGGCCCTCACAAGTCTCTGGATTTTGCCAGGTGTTCATCATGGGCTACTCGGTGGTGGCTGGAGCTGTAGGAAGACTCCTCTTCGGCTATGACAGCTTTGGCAATGTGTGTGGCAAGAGGAACTTCCCAGTGGAAGGGGCCCCTCTCTCAGGGCAGGACATGACTCAAAAAAAGTAAGTTTTTTGAGTTATGTCTTCAAACTATAGAAGGGCTGTATTTCAAAACTTTGTATAGTTACTGAGAGATTAGCAACTTCTCCTGTTTTTTGGTTTTTTGTTTTGTTTTGTTCTTTTTGAGACAAGGTCTCCCTGTAGTCCCAGCTGGCCTGGAGCTTACTATGTGGACCAGGATGGCCTTGAACTCATAGAGATTGTCCTGCCTCTGCCTCCTGAGTGCTGGGATTAAAGTGGTGTGCCACCACGCCCAGCTCAACTTTTCCTGTTTAAAACTCAGTCAGACCATCCCTAAAAGGAGGCTGTGTGTGGCAATAAAGGGACAGTTGTAGGATCAGCCAGTCACAGATACAAATTCAACTTCCATTACTTTTCAGCTCTGGGACCTTAGGCAGAGTCCGCAGGCTCTCTGAGCCCAGTTTTCATCTTTCAACTAATAGTTATGCCCAACTATAAGTATGCCAGATTGTTCTAAGGCTTCACTGAGACTGAGTGAACTAAGGCATAGCAAGTGTTTATCATTCCCCTTATAACATTATCAAATAGCAAAGACAGGTAGTGTTAGAGTCCAATCAGAAACAAAAAGTCAAACAGTGGTCTCCGGGACTGGGAGAAGACGGAGTGAGGTGCTCTTGTCTATTAGGAACAGAGTTTCTGTTTGGGCATATGTAGAATCCTGCGGCTGATGGTGGGGATGGCAGCCCAGTACCATGCATGCACTCAATGCCCTGAACTGTATGCTTAAAAATGATTAAGGTGGGGCTGGAGAGATGGCTCAGCAGTTAAGAACACAGGTTGTTCTTGCAGAAGACCTGGGTTTATATCCCAGCACCCACACGGCAGCTAACAACTGTCCATAACTCCAGTTCCAGGAGATCCAACAGCCTCTTCTGTCCTCCACGAGCATTGCACAACACGGGTGCACTTACCTACATGCAGGCAATACATGCATACCATAAAATAAAAAGAATAAATAAAATATTTTTTAAATGATTAAGGTGGAAAATTGGATATACATTTTAACATAATTTTTAAATGTTTTAAACTAAATAAATTATTTATATACCAGTCCCCCAGGAAATCTGTTCCACCTTTCTCCATGTTCCACCTTCCCTCCTCGCATCCCAGTGGATGCAGAGTGGCCTCGAGTCCTGGTTTCTTCCCCTGCATATCTGAGACTTCTGCAGTCTAGACAAGCCTTGGGTTGGACTGCCACCGCCAGCACTTGACCCCTGAATGGCAGCATCTGATGCAGGACAGGTCTCCTAAGCGTCTTGGCTCTTGACTCCCCAGGCTCAGCCCCACTTGTCACTTTCCTGAGTCCCACAGTTCTCTGAAGCATATTTGAACAACCTCGGGCAGTTTCCATTGAGTCATTTATGTATCCATATCTAGCATGCTACGTGCAGTTTAAACAATTCTTCTCTTCCTCAATGACTTTTCCTCGTGTAACTCCTTCCGCTATATACCCCAATCTCAAATACTGAACCTAGATAAGGAAATAGTTGTTCATATTCGAGTATGGTTCATGAGCTGTGCAGCTCTGCAGATAACCCTCCACCCCCTAAACTGGCATAATAAAAAATTCAGTTATGTGGAAGCATTTGACTAGAACAGTGTGCCTTAGTCATTCCCACATTTGGTAGTTTGTAGATAATTTTCAAAGCTCACAGTTAAACCAACGGGAGGCAGCGCCCTAAGACATGCTTTTGCTTCCTCCATCCTTAGACATGTGTTCTTCATGAATTCCTGCAACCTGGAAGTCAAAGATAGGTGGCTCAGTTCCACAGCCCTCTGCGTCTCCAGTTGTCCCGAGGAGCAGCTCAACACCCTGGAAGAGGTCCAGCTCTTCGCCAACACTAGTGGTAGGCACTGAGGGCCCTCTTCTCACACACACACACTCCCCATTGTAGTAAGCCCAATGGTCCTAGGTAGTATAACTTACCCTGAAGCTGCTGACTCTGAAAAGATACTAATTATACTCCTTGCAGATGTCTTTTAGTGAAAAGGAATATGAACTTTTTCTCATGTGCTTGTTCAATGTCACGGGTCTGTCTGGACTTACCTGGATCCCGGACTGCTCTGTGTGTGCTCCCTGCTCACTTCAGCAAAAGATCTTCTTTAGAAACCCAGAAAGGGACAATAGACACAAGGCCCAAAGGTTCCTGGTCAAATCACCCACCTGGAGGTTTTGGATGAAGTTGTCAGGCCCAGTGGATACTTTCACTGATCAATAAGATAGTCATATGTTGTACTGAAATTGTTTGTGTAAAACACTTCACATTTTATGGATTAAACAAAAGGATAGTAAAAGAAACTTGAGGCAACCCATTGCAAATTTAATCTGCCTTAAAAATGGAGTTTTTTGGGCATGGTGGCCATAAGGCTTTGATCCCAGCATTTGGAGGGCAGAGGCAGGCAGATCTACAGGAGATCAAGGCCAATCTGGTCTACATAGTGAGTTCCAGGCTATTTGAGGCTTCAGGAAGACCCTGTCTCAAAAAGAAAAAAAAAATGGAATCTAAACATTTAAAAATATTTTGAAAGCTGGGTTAAAAATCTCAAGCTTCTGAAATAAATCATCTTCAAAGGGCTATCAAATAGTTTTAATGCAAAGCATATGATTTTTAGTGTTGTATTTGGGGTTTTAGACAAGATAAGGTGCATTCAGAGCAGTATGCTGTAGAAAGACGAATGTGGGATTTTGGAGAGAAAGAAAAGAGATCCCAAATCTACCTCAGATGGTATACCTGTTCTTCCTAATTCCTGGCCTGCTTGGTAAAATGGATGCTGTTTCCTTACTGGATCCCCAAGAAAGATGGGTACAATGCAGGAGAATACCATAGTCTGTGTTCTTCTGCTTCCAGGGTCTTTCCTGTGTGTGTATAGTTTGAGTTCCTTCAACTATACCCAGAGTCCAAATGCAGACACCTTGTGTCCCAGGCTACCAGTTCCTCCGAGGTAAGAGCTGACATCCATCTTCCTTATCCATCAAGAAAGGTACCAGGTACTTGATGCTGTCTGTTCCTCTTCTAGACGTTGTAGAAAGCAGAAGAGACACTGGGTGGAGCTCACAGTCTACAGGAGACTAGGGACAAAGAGGGGCTATTTAACATGCATATTGGGCAACGAGGATATACTGAGGAAAATCAGCAAACAATAGAGATAATATGTAGTCTTCAAACACCAGTGCTGGGCTGGTGAGATGATTCAGCAAGTAAGGGAGCTTACTGCCACACCTGACAACTTGAGTTTGATCCCTGGGACCTACACGGTAGAAAGAGAGAACTGACTCCTGAAAGTTGTCACCTGACCTCCGCAGTATGTATGCCCCACCAAAGTAAGGACAATGTAATAAATTTTTAAAGACATTATGAAAAATACTAGTGCTAACAAAAAGTAATATATACATTATTACCAAATGAGCAATTTTATGAAGCAGTTGGTATGCATTTTTCCTTCCCCTGTTCTTTATTACTATTAAATAAAAATTATCAATATTTGCTTTTTTATTGTTACCACATGTTAGTTTTTATAGCTCTAGATTCTATTATCAGAAATGGGCCTGGGTAGGCAAGGCTGAGTGGGCGGGCGCCATAGCTTTCTTTTCAGTGAACACAGAATGTGCAGGTTCTTATCCATAATGTCCTGGGTGAACTTTTGCAGGGTTTTATCTAACCCCGGTTCTCTGTAGGCACCTCATAAATGTGTATAGAGTTGTAATGATGAAGCAGTGCTTGCTGGGTAAGTGGCTCACATTTGCGTCTTTAAGACCATCACCGTCAGGGCACTCAGGTGTTCTATAGAAGCTTGGGTCAACACTACATTGCCATTCCTTTAGAAAAAATAAGTACATTTACAATGACTAAGCAGTCTATAACAATACTTTAAGTAAAACAAGACATTGCGCCAACCATCTCACACATGTTGATGACATTTCGGTTGGGACCCACATAATAAATGTATTTATTATACCATAACCTGGCACACATATACCTCAGCACCTAGGTATATAAGCCAGAAATAGTAAAGTCACAAGACTTCCCTTACTATATATGTCATGTAATCGTTCCTGTTCTACTGAATTTTAAAATAATTGTTTCATGATCTTCTAGCTGGTTGCAAATACAGGGCTTTGTTTGTTTGTTTGTTTGTTTGTTTTTGAGACAGGTCTCTCTGTAGCCCCAACTGACTTGGAACTCACTACATATACCAGGTTGGCCTTGATCTCACAGAGATCCACCTGTCTCTGCCTCCCAAATCCTGGGATTAAAGGTGTGCACTACCACGCCCACTGCAAATGCAGTTTGAAAGACACCAATCTCACAGGTACTAAAAAGGACAAGTGGGTTTTAACTACATAAGAGGCAGGATGTAATTAGCCATCTGGATAGCATTCTTTTCTAAAATGAACACTTGCTTGAGGTAATTGAGAGAGAGATGAATTATTTGCAAAGGAGAGTATTCATTCCACTTTCCCATAATATCCTATTTTTCAAATTCTGGCTACTTCCAATGTCATAAACTTGTTTCTGTGAAACATAACAACCCAGACAAAAAAAAAACTGGAAGATTTTAGTGTGCTGAAGGAAAATTATCTAATGCTTAGAGAGGATTTTTATTTTTAAGAAACACTCTTTGTATCTGTACCTGCAGAATGAATTGAGACTCTGTGTGTGTGTGTGTGTGTGTGTGTGTGTGTGTGTGTGTGTGTGTGTGTGAAGCTCTTTGTATCTGTACCTGCAGAATGAATTGAGACTCTATTTGTGTGTGTGTGTGTGTGTGTGTGTGTGTGTGATACTCAAGAGCACCATCCGCCTCCTTAGACACAGGTCCTTGTTGGTCTGGCCCATCCCAGGGATCTGTCTGTCTCCACCTCCCCAGTGTGAATCCCAAGTGTGTACCACCACACCCAGCATTCTTACAGAGGTTCTGGGGCTCGAACTCAGATTCACCTGGTTACAAGGCAAGTGCTTTGCCAACTGAGCCTTTCCCCAAGCCCAAAGAATGAAATTTTCAAGTTTCTATTACATTTTTAAGCAAAGTCAGATCAACTGTCTGTCCCCTTTCTGTAGATGGGATGACAGCCATGATTCCGTGGGAAGCTTACACTGCGGTACTCATGGTGGGTGAGCACATTGAGCATTCACGGAGCTTTTCCTGCTTGTTCTGGCTTTTCTAAGCTCTTGACATGCACTTGCTCCCAAAGCATGTGTGCTGTAGGTGTTGTTTTACAACCAAGAAGACTGATGCAGAATCTATAATCAGAAGTGGAAAATCTCATTCAAACTCAGTGTCTATATTAGATTCTATGAGTTACCATCGAGGCTAGATGGCTGGCCAGTGACCTCATTAGGATCCCACCAAGCTTAAGAGGGAAAAATATCCCAAGCCACGTACCCTCGAGTCACCACCTCTGTTACTTCTCAAGCGGGTCCCAGCCCTTTTCAGCCTCAAATGCGGATCTTGCCAATACTAACTTTCCAAGTGAAAACAACACTATTGATTGAGTAGCCTTTCTTGGACAAAGCAGGGGAGACAAAAATAGGCTCGAAGGCTCCATTTCCTTTTCCTACACAAGCAAGTGTTTGTTTAAGATGGAAATTATCGTATTTATCATGGAAGAGCCATGCCAAGATTTAAAAGCTACAGAACATGAGATGTGTGGCTATAGGGGCAAGGAACATTTTCTAAATACTTTCTGTTCACTACATCAGTTATTTCTTCTGCCTCTGTCAATCACGTGAGGTAAAACACATCCTTTTAGAGCAAAGGCTGGGTATCACCTAGGCACGCACTTTCAAGGGCAGTGAAAGAGTACTTTAGAAAATGACAAGCACGCCTCTTTTTCCTCTTGTGCTAGGCATAATATTTCATTTTGAGTCCCCCATATATTTGGAATCTAAAAGGCTTGGGCCTCTCCCACTCCCCTCAGGAAATTCTAGTCCTCGCATCCTCCATAGGTGCCCATGCACCTGTGTTGTTTACTTGGACGAAATCCTCACCCAGGGATGTCTATCCAAAGCAGCTCTCCAGATTGGTTCCTGCAGGTTTGAGAGGTTTTGTTAGTGGCAAGATAAAAAGCAGAAGTGAGGACGGAACCTCAGACTGAGCCTGGTGCATCTCTGACCAAGCTAATGACATAGTCAGTGGACAGCTAGGCAGCCACCCAACATGAAAGACCCAGACCCGTCAGGCTTCTCTTGTTGCCTTTGGGGCTAAAATGAATCATTGTTTGTCAGCGTCAGTGCAAGATTAATAAATAGAAAAAAAAAGTTAACAAAACCATGTGAGAAATTAAGGTTTACCTGGGCCTGGTAGCACATGTCTTTAATCTCAGCACTGAGAAGGCAGAGACAGGTGAATCTCTGCGAGTTCAAGCCCAGCCTAGTCTACATAGTGATTTCCAAGCTAGCCAGGGCTACACAGGGAGACCCTGTCTCCAGAAAAGGAAGGAAGGAAGGAAGGAAGAAGGAAGGAAGGAAGGAAGGAAGGAAGGCTTGAGAGATGCCTCAGCAATTTAGAGCACTGATTGCTCTTGCAGAGGATCCAGGTTCAATTCCTAGCACCCACATGGCGGCTATAAACCGCCTGTAACTCTAGTTCCAGGGGACCCGATGTCCTCTTCTGACCTCCATGGGCATTGCAAGACTCGGGTGCACTTACACACATGCAGGCAAGGCATTTGTACACATAAAATAAAAATAATAAGGTATTTTTTAAATACAGGAAGGAAGGGAAGGAAGGAAGGAAATTAAAGTCTGATGAAGAATTATGTTTTGGAAAAACAAATAAAATGACATTAACTCTATCTGTTCTTATTTCAGAAACACTAAATGAAAGTTAAGAAAACATTTGCTTTTAAAACACTTCTGATTTATTGATGCTATAAATCTGTTTAGGAGTAAAAAAGCAAAAGAGATTAAAGGTTTAGAAATCTGAAAACAGAGATAAAATTACTGCTTTGTGGATGGTGTGATTATAGACCAGGAAAGCAAAGAGATTATAGACCAGGAAAGCATAGAACTAAGAGGCATGGAATGAAATTGATGCTCTGACATCTGAACATTTATGTATTTTAAAATTTGTATTTTACAGCTGGGCATGGTGGCACACACCATTAATCCCAGCACTTGGGAGGCAGAAGCAGGCAGATCTCTGTGAGTTTGAGGCCAGCCTGGTCTACATAGTGAGTTCCAGACCAGCTGGGGCTATAGGGAGACCCTGTTTGTAAAAGACCAAAAAAAAAATTGTACTTTACTACAATAGGAAAAAAATCACATACAAAGATACAAAAGTATCTAGAAATCAAGTTAACAAGAAATAAACAGAGGAAGAAAACGCCAATTTGATCTTGGTACAATGAAAACTACAACAAATAGCAAGGCGCTCTGTGTTCTTAATGACGACATAACTCGGAGTTAGAAAGATGTCAGACCTCTCTACACTGCTTTATTCATTTATCATGATTACAATAAACATCAATAAAATTATACCCTAATATGGGAATTTATTGCATGATAAAATTAGCATCTCAAATCAATGGCAAAACGTGAAGTATTCAACAATGGTATTAAGCCAGGTAGATACCCAACAGACAATTTTCCAGTTTTCATACAGAAAATGAAGGCAGAAAGTATTAAAAGAAGCTGTTCAAGAATTCTTTCTTTTCTTTCTTTTTTTTTTTGCCTTTTTTTGAGACAGGGTCTCCCTGTAGCCCCAGCTGGCCTGGAACTCACTATGTAGGCCAGGCTGGCCTTGAACTCACAGAGATCCACCTGCCTCTACCTCCTGAGTGCTGAGTGCTGGGACGAAAAGCATGTGCCACCACACCCGGCACAATTCTTTAATAACCTGAAAATAGAGAAGGTTTCTAACTCTTACTTCAACACTCAGAAAGCTAAGACAGGAGGATTGCCATGAGTCAAAGACCAGCCTGGGACAAAAAAAAAAAAAAAAAA